TTCTGCATAATTTACAATGCATAATAAAGCATAATATCAGTATGTAATTAAATGTGAATTAAAATGAATTTCAATAAATAAAAATATTGTTAAAAATCACACGTTATTTGTTATTTGTCACGTTTTTGTGCCGTGAGTGGAGGATTTTCCACTCGGTTACCACCATAAGTATATTTCAAACCTGTGGGAAGCACTGTGGTTTTGTGGTTGCATACTTATTTTACTCTATTTTTTTTTTTGCAGTTATTTTAGTCAAGTACCTTTAATACCTAAACTGTATGTGCTTTTGCATGATCTGTGACTGCATGTAGTGTCAGATGGATGGTTGTTTTTCTTTTAAGGATCAGCTGATACTGAAAGATCTGACTGAAATATATGCACTTTCTTTAGAGAAATTGGAAATAAACTGAAGTCTGAAAACTGAAAAGCACTGAACAAAAAAAGCATTTTTTAGAATGTGGCAGTAATACCTCAATTGCACATTCTTGTTTGCATATAGTAGAAATCTGATCAACATAGCCTTGTATTACATGTTCATTACATCACATTTTTATTACAGGCTGCACATTTTATTGAATCCTCTTACAGAAAAGAGAGGGCAGATTCATACATTATACTTTTTGGAAATAAATGACCTGAGATGTAATAGCTGTTCAGTGGAGGATGTATTTATTTATTACTTAGAAATGTATAATGCAGACATTGTGTGCATTTATTGTAAGTGCAACTTGCTAACAGCACTACTTTTAGCTTCAAAATACATGAATAAATAAATAAAGTGTCTGCAGAGTCAGACTACCTCTACAGGTGCTCATGCTCTCCAAACGGCATCTCTGGAAAAAAAGGAGCTGCATCTTATAACTGCTGCGGTTTTCACCTCAGGCAGTGAAAGCACACCTACCACCTACAAAACAATATAAATCATAAAGTAAAAAAAGTATATTTCCACATGTTGCCTCAACGGTTACACATGCCCATACTTAGCCTAATGTGCACAAACGAATCATGCATATATTTACTTTTTTTTTCAGTGTAGGTCATTTTATTACATATGTGGCAAAACTCTTCTACAACAAGAATAATTCAATTAATTTCCGTCCTCTTCAGAAGATGCATGTGACGTCACAGATAGAAGAGAGTGCATGTGAGCTGAGTTGTGCCAGGCTCTATTGCAGATAGATGTTAATACCAGGTGTGAATGGGATACAAAAGACATCTGGTGTAGTTTTGTTAGGGCTGCAGTGCCAGATTTGAGAACTAAGGAGGTAGATCAGTGACACTGATTTGGTGAACCATTGCTTTCACTTCCAGCGTATTAAATGTAATATATGAAAAATTGAAAATGTATTGAAGAATGTCTTCAAAAATTGTTTTGCTCCAGCAACATTTTATTATGAATGCTTTAAAGAAATCCCATTTCTCATAACATTTCCTGTTTGGCTGATTGCATTTGTAATCAAACACTGAAATGCATGTGGTCTGGAGATGATACAGTCCTCGAGGCCAGTGATTTATTTAAAAATCAATTCATCCAACTCTGTAAATTAATGTTGTTGTATTGCCTACAAAACCACAAGTGATTCAGAAAACAAACCTTTTGCATTTGTGTCAGACTGGCTTTCTGGTTATACAATTATTACAACTGAATTTAGGTAACTTATACTTATTTAACTAATCATAGTGCAAATGCAACAAATATATAACATTCCTCAATGATTTCCTTTGAAGGATTTTGTAGTTGTTGATATAT